CATCTGGAAAGCAGTTGTAATTCTGAGTGATCTCAGGCCTCACCTGGAGATTGGACACATTTTACCTCAGAACAAGAAAACTGTTTAGAATGTTAGAGGCAAAAGCCAATCAAGTCGCATATGCAAAGGACCTCTGTGTTCCGAGGCAAAGGCCAATGAGGCTGCATATGCAAATAACCTCTGTGTTCTGACTGGCTATGGGGGGGAGAGGAACAGCAAAATGTTTAGAATGTTGGAGGCAGGACTCAGGCAAAGCAGCTAGTGGATAGGGAGACCCTCTGAATGACAGATCAGAGAGCGAACTGATTTTGGAGCGTGTGGAATGTTCTACAGAAGTGCCACCACCATTCAGCTTTTATTTATAAGGGAGATATTCACTGGTGCATTAACAGCAACTTTACCTTCAAAATAGTATACTCTCATTTTTGTACTGTTTTAATGCACCACAAAGTTCTCAATGTCCTTTCAATCTGGTTTTATTCCCAAAATACCGAGAGATCAATCATCTGTATTTTGCAACCATTCTGAACAGAACGCGTAGAAGCAAGACAGCAGGATCCAAGATCAGGCAATTCCACAACCTCCTGTCTTTCCCGAGCCACTGTTACGTTAAATCTTGCTTGTCTGGTTGGCTCAAGAGAGCTCGTTGCAGTTTCCTCCTTTACAATCAAGTGCCACTCTTCACCTCCCCCTCCCGGCGGATCATGGAGCAGGCCCACCGGCACCTTTGGAGCAAGCACCCCAGCATCCCCACGGCTCACCTGCACGTACGCACAGCCGCTCCCCGAGACCTCCACCTTGTATTGCCCGGGCACCTCGGGGAGAGACGCCTGTTGCAGCACCAGCCGGTTCCCCTTGTCCACGTGGAATTCTTGCTGGGAACCCGTGGTGGACTTCACCAGCACACGGACGCCTTCAATCTCACGGTAGGTCAAGGCTGCGTACCAGGATAAGGCCTGCAGGGCGACCACCGTGTCCTGCGGAGCAGAAAACAGTTCCTTTGGGTGGGTGGGAATTTAGGGGACCATGTCTCCACTTGGAAGCCGGGAGCCAGACATCCAGTTGTCCACCATGTTATCTCTGGAGGAGCAATGCACGGAAACAGGCTGCAGTAAGAGGGTTCAGTCCACATGCCTAATGAAAGAAACTGCTGAAGAACAAAGTTTGACTCCAGTAGCACCTTTAAGACCAACAGAGTTTAATTCTGGGTATAAGCTTTTGTGTGTCTGCACACTTCTTCAGATACTTCAGAAACTGTTGTTTCCTTGTATTCTGTGTTCCAATATTCAGATGTGTTTTGCCATGATACCTCCAGGAGGTAGTGTGGTTTACAACAAACAGCATTAGACTCTGATCAGCGAGATGTAGATTTCGGTTTGTGTGTGTGTGTGTGTGTGTGTGTTTTTGTGAGCAGAAATGTGGAATTTGTTGCCACAGTATGGCTTTAAAAGGAGATTAGACAGATTCATGGAGGATATGGCTGTCAGTGGCTACTGCCAGGTGACTAAAGGGAAACCCCACGTTTGAAGGCAGGGAACCTCCAGTGCCAGTAGCAGGGTCATTTCCTGCAGGAGTGCACAGGAGCGGAGCTTCGGCAGTAAAGAGCCCAGGGGGCAGGCACATGCAACAAGCCCCACCCCCTGCTCCCAGCAGCCCTCAATCAGAGCAAGAAGCAGCCAGGTAAGCTGCAGAGCCCCCGGCCCCCCGGTCCAAAACAGTCCAGTGGCACCTTTAAGACCAAGTTTTATTCAGGTACAAGCTCTCCCTCCTCTGCGACTGCGATGACAGATCTGCACGTGCCCCCCCCCCCCGATAGCTAGCAATCCAAAACAGTCCAGTGGAGCCTGAGCGGTGGGTGTTGCCTTCTGACACACTTCCAGTGATGTCATGAGGTGTGGCATATGCAAATGAGTTATGGTAATGAGTTATGCTAATGAGATCCTGCACCTCTTTTTCTACGAAATGACCCCTGACCAGGAGGCAACATCAGGGGAAGGCCTCGGCCTCTGTGCCCAATTATTGGACCTCCAAAGCAACTGGTTGGCCACTGAATGAAACAGGATGCTGCCCTAGATGGACCAATGGTCTGATCCAGTGGATCTCTTCTTATGTTCTTATGATCTAAGACAGAGGCGGCAAACTCATTTGTAATGAGGGCCGGACCTGACATAAATGAGACCTTGTTGGGCCGGGCCACGTGGGTCATAAAAATGTAATGCCAGGTAGCAGAGATATAAACTTTATAAAGGACACAAACACAAATGTGGGTTTTTTAAAACTTAAAATAAAGACATGCTTAAAACATCAGCACTCTTGCAATATTTTGTTTATTCAACAGTGTCTGATAACTGACACCTCTTGCTCTGAATTATTGCATCAAAATGTCTGAGCTGCTGCAATCTTGAGTATGCTGTTCAGGTGTGTATCTGTAAGCTGCAAACCTACGATGATGCAGCAGCAGTAGAACCGGAAGAAGAAGCAGAAGATCACCAGTTCCACTGCGGGCCTGAGAAAAGCCCTCCAGGGGCCTGATGTGGCCCCTGGGCCACATGTTTGACACCCCTGCTCTAAGATAAAGCAGGCAAAATGTCAACATAATACTACTCTGAAGAGTTAACATGGTTAACAACACACTTCTTAAATGTTCAAAGATCTGCTCAGAGAAAGCACAGACAACACTGAAAAGTGGGATTTGGATTCAGGGTTAAATAATTTAATAACTGTTCCAAATTCAAGAATAATGCAATTTCAAACCACCTGACAGCTTGTTTTCAGGAAGCTGGCTCTAATATTGATGAGTTACGTTTAAGCCCCCACAGAATAATGCCACCAAAATTCATATCCCTCTCAGGAATAAAGTTCAAAAACAGATACCTTGATGTAATATTGGCAAGCTGTTTGTTCCAGTCTGGGCCTGCCTCTATCCTCGATCAAGTGACAGGTCTGATTTTTAGAGCATCAGGGCTCTGCGTGGGTGAAGACACCTATTTCTTTGCACCTATGGCTTATCTTATCTTCCTTCTTGTAACTAGGATCCTTTCTGCTATTATAGTTCAGCTGAGAAGAAATTGAAATTGCTGAGCAGCCGGGTTACAACGGATAAAAGGAAGTACTTCTTTACCCAAAGAGTGATTAACACGGAATTCACTGCCACAGGAGGTGGTGGCGGCTACAAGCATAGACGGCTTCAAGAGGGAATTAGATAAGCGTATGGAGCAGAGGTCCATCAGTGGCTGTTAGCCACAAGTTATAGCTAGGAACTCTCATTCTGGGGCAAGGGATGCTCTTGGTGCTTGGGGGGCATCAGTGGGAGGGCTTCTAGTGTCCTGGCCCCACTGCTGGACCTCCTGATGGCACCTGGTATTTTTGGCCACTGTATGACAGAGTGTTGGACTGGATGGGCCATTGGCCTGGTACAACATTGGCTTCTCTTATGTTCTTATATGGAGCAGAGGCCCATTGGTGGCTGTTAGCCACAAGGTATAGCTAGGAACTCTCAGTCTGGGGCCAGTGATGCTGTGTGTTCTTGGTGCCTGGGGGGGGCTACAGTGGGAGGGCTTCTAGTGTCCTGGCCCCACTGCTGGACCTCCTGATGGCACCTGGTATTTTTGGCCACTGTGTGACCCAGAGTGTTGGACTGGATGGGCCATTGGCCTGATCCAACATTGGCTTCTCTCTTATGCTCTTATGTTCTTATTCCATGAGACACAGAGATTGATTAAAATGTGGAATTTGCTGCCAGAGGCTGTAGTGACGGCCACAGGAATAAACAGCTTTAAAGGCAATTCTTTATTTTATACATTCTGACTATTTATCAACAGTTATATTCTGTCTCCATGAGTGCATTGTTCTCCTTTCTAGCCCTCTTCGGGCACAACGTTATCCATTCACCTCTGTGTCGTTATTTCCCATGACATTTACCTTCTCTGCCTTACGCTGGCCGCTCTTTTCCAAAACTGCTACACGACTTCTCATTTCACCCCCCCTCCTGTTAAAGTTCTCCAACAACCCCACCTTTCCATGAAGCTTTTGGATCAGCCCCCAAAGCCAAGGAACGTCTCACAGCACTTGCTCCTTGTTCAGTGTAACTTCTTATGTTTCCTTTTCTCCTCTCCCTTTGTTTCTCAATCATGATCTTTCAGGGTGTGTCTTCATTGTTATGTCTCCATGAACAGTGCCATCTTCTTTCTTGGCAATACATACATTCTTGCTCTTAGTTGCACCCACCAAGACAAAGCCTGCAATGGGGAGTGTACATCTGAGGCACACTCAGGGGTCATTTTCTGCGGGAGCGCACAGGAGCGGAACTCCGGCAGTAAGGAGCCCAGGGGGCGGGCACATGCAACAAGCCCCACCCCCTGCTCCCAGCAGCCCTCAATTGGGCCACAAGGAGCAAGAAGCAGCCAGGTAAGTTGCAGGGGCCCCCTGCCCGCCTTCAGGTACAAGCTCTCTCTCCTCTGTGAGGGCAGATCTGCGCATTCCCCTCCCCTCCATAGCTAGCAATCCAAAACAGTCCAATGGCAGCTTTAAGACCAGGTTTTATTCAGATACTGTCAGCAAGCTGCCATGGTGTTCTGTGTTGCTGGTACTTCTGTACAGTTGTTCCCCCCCCTTCCCTGCCTGTGCGCTGTTATTGTACTCTGCTGTAATGCATAAGCCAAACAACTGGAGGACGTCTTGGGGGAGTTCGCTTCATAGCCAGCTTGTTGCTTTTAGAGCCTGGGAACTGCACCTGTATTATGTCTGGAGATAGCATGGTTCTCAGGGAATGAGCGCGCAACCGTTTCCTTTCACCCGCCAGCGGGAAAGTGACCCATTGGTTCTGTACCTGTTTCAAATCCCTTTATTATGCTTGCCCTAACCGTTTGTAGTCAGTTCTAACAAAGAACGTGTTTGAGTGTCTTTCCAATGCTTTGAAATAAATTTTGCTTTTCTTGAAAACGTGGATTTATTCTCGATGCTTGGGGATCCAACAGATACAAGCTCCTCTGTGAGGGCAGATCTGCGCATCCCCCCCACCCACAATAGCTAGCAATCGAAAACCATCCAGTGGAGCCTGAGCGGTGGGTGTTGCCTTCTGACACACTTCCGGTGCTGTCAGGGTGTGTGGCATATGCAAATAAGTTGTGCTAATGAGTTATGCTAATGAGCTCCTGCACCTCTTTTTCTACGAAATGACCCCTGGGCACACTCAAGCATCCCAGCATCCTATGCAAAGCGGACAAGGTGTTACCTGCGTGGAGAAAAATCCCCCGTATGGATTCTGCTCCTTAACGAGGGCGGCTGTGATCTGGGAGGCTTCTTTGATGTCATCTGCAGACACCTCTGGTTGAGAGAGGTACGCCAGGAGGGCGTAAGCAGTTGTCTCGACGTCGGACCAGGACACAACTCCTTCTGCAAAGACAAGGGTGATCTTAATTCTGCACACGGCAGTAGGCATTGCTGGGGGCTCCTTCCGGCTCCCGCAGCCATCTTTAAGGTACCGTTATGGCAGAAATGGCAGACGCATCAGATTATCAGGCAAGTTTTGTGCTTTTAGACTCCTTCCTTTTCCAGACAATAAACGTGCCACATCCTAAGAGGGAAAGCCACAAACAATCAAGGAATGTCGTTTTACTCGGAAGGGCTTCTAGGCCCAATCGCTGCACTCACAGCATGTGAGCTCCACTGGGCAGAGTACTGGACCTTGGACCAGAACTCAGATCCCAGCTGAACTATGTAGATCGGGGGCAGATCTGATATGTCCCTTGGCAAAATGAGAACAAGGTTGATGTACCTAAGAGGAGAACAGACAAGTTCAGGATTGTGAAGCATTTGAAAGCACTACAGGAAGGAGGCCCTGCCCTTGACGTTCCAGGCCGGCCCAGTATCATCAGATCCTGGAATTTAAGCAGGGCCGGGGTCTCGTCAGCACAAGGAAGGCCAGGGTTGCTGTGCAGAGACAGGCAATGGGCCAACCACCTCTGTGTCAGGCTCTCTGTGCACCTGTCAATTCACAGTGCACCTGCCATTGAGAGACGAGGCTCCCTCCTTCCCTTTGGAGTGTCTGGGGCTTGTCACCTTTGCCACGCCAAATGGCCTGGCTTCTCAAATGTCTGTGGTCTTACTTCCTTGATATGTAAGGCTACGTGCCTCTAGGAGAAGGGGGGAAAGCTGACGGTTACTTCTGGCACGGCAAAATACTTGGGGGGGGGTGATTGGCTCCTAATCCTTAGTGCTTTTACTTGAATCCCCTATATCTGTAACCTTCCCACATTTCGCTTCAGTCCAAACAATAGATGTGTCTAGGATGCAGGGGTCATTTCGTAGAAAAAGAGGAGCAGGAGCTCATTGACATAAATCATTAGCATAACTTATTTGCATATGCCACACCCCCTGACATCACCGGAAGTGTGTCAGAAGGCAACACCCACCGCTCAGGCCCCACGGGACTGTTTTGGATTGCTGGCTATTGGGTGGGTGGGGAGAAAGCGCAGATCTGTCCTCGCAGAGGAGGGAAAGCTTGTACCTGAATAAAACTTAGTCTTAAAGGTGCCACTGGAATGTTTTGGACTGGGAGGGGAGCTCTGCAGTTTACCTGGCTGCTTCTTGCTCTGACTGAGGGCTGCTGGGAGCAGGAGGTGGGGCTTGTTGCATGTGCCCGCTCCCTGGGCTCTTTACTGCCGGAGTGTGCGCTCCTGCAGGAAATGACCCCTGCTAGGATGGTATCTATCAACTGTCTCAATGAAGTTAGCTTTCTACAACTGGCTGTTGTTGAGAACTGATTGTACCGGGAATCTGACACTCTGCTCGTCTCTCCATGATACGGCAATTTTACTTGTAGTCTTAGGACCTAACCTGTAAGGTCTTTCTTTCTTTCTTTCTTTCTTTCTTTCTTTCTTTCTTTCTTTCTTTCTTTCTTTCTTTCTTTCTTTCTTTCTTCTGTTTTTATTTGTTACATTTTACTAATTGTTACATTTTGGGATTTTTTTTTTATTTTTTATTCCTGGGTACACATTGGGACTATTACTATTTCCAGTATATGGAATCACTTCTGACACGAGGCTGGATACATTTTTTTGGCCACAAAAGAAAAAGGCTTTCCGTGTGTCATTCGGTTCCAGATTGGAAGTTAGTATATTAAATTAGGGTACAGTAAAATATGCATTTTTAATATTGGATGGAATTTTCAATCAGAATTAAATATTAATCTAATTTTTTTTTATTTCTCCATACAGCATTCCATTTTGGTCCTATATTAATTGTAACAAGGGCTTTGTTGCATGTTGTATTCTGTACTATTTGACCTCTGAAGAAGGCTCTTGGGAGCCGAAACGCATCAGGTCATGCATTGTTCCTTTTTGTGCATTTGTCACTATGAGGTTTTATTTGGGCCCTTACAAGGTTTATATACTTCTGAAATAAACATGAACTTTTGTCCATACCTAGCTAGTGATGTTTTTAACTTTTGGCCCTTAACTAGTTTTCTAAACAATGACTGGAACCTGATGTATTTTTTCAGAATGAGAGACAACAAGCAAGCTACTTGGACTTGCGCCCGACGCCCCTTGGAAAGAGCTGCAACTCAGAACCTGTCCTAATGTGACTGGGAAGAAATCAAGTATCTAGTGAATGAAATCATCCCTCCTACCTTCTCGGTCAGCCTGTTCGCCTAAGTCTGTCAGGAGCTGCCGCCGTGTCTCCGTGTCCCCTGCCAACGTGAAGACATACGCCAGCAAGGCTCTGGGGTAGGCATCCTCCACAAAACTTAAATTCCTCTTCAGACAAGCTAAAGCATCTTCTACCATGGTCCCCTACAAGATGACAAAAGAACATAAGAGCATAAGTGACAAGCCAATGTGGGATCAGGCCAGTGCCCCATCCAGTCCAACACTCTGGGTCGCACAGTGGCCAAAAATATCAGGTGCCATCGAGAGGTCCAGCAGTGGGGCCAGGACACTAGAAGCCCTCCCACTGTGGCCCCCCTGTTAGGTTAGGGATAGGAGGACTGCAGTTCAGTGGGATTGCACTTCTGAGATGTGGACCTGGCAATCTCTACCAGAGCACATCTCCAAACTACATTTCCCCAGAATTCTTTGGGGAAAGCCACAGCAAAGGGCTCTAATTTTTGAATTTTACTTCATTTATATCCCATCTTTCTCCCCAATGGGGACCCAAAGTGGCTTACATCGTTCCCCTCCCTTCCATTTTATCCTCACAACAGCCCTGTGAAAGCAGGTGAGGCTGAGAGTGTGTGACTGGCCCAAGGTCACCCAGCAGGCTTCCAGGTTCAGAGCAGGGATTTGGACCGGTGTGCTACAGCATCCTAGTCCGACGCTCTAACCGCCACACCGCACTACCTCTCAAAAGCCGCTATTGGGTCTGCAGTACAGATATGCATTTTGCCTTCCTTGTTGAGCTGGAAAAAAATAATCAGTGTTCCCTCAACGCTGAGTTAGTGTGAGCTAGCTCACAGTTTTTTAGCCTGCGGCTCACACATTTTTGTCTTCACTCAGGAAGGAGGGCTCCAGAGCAAGCTAATTTATGTAGCAGCCAAATCACTCGCTCACCACTTTAATGCCAGGAGCTCACAAAGTAGGATTTTTGCTCACAGGACTCCACAGCTTAGAGGGAGCATTGGGACCACGTGCTCCCTCTGTCCCTCCCTACAGTTACTACAAGGAACGCCCTTCTAGATGCTCTTATTTCCCTGTAAAAGTACAGCAATGGTCTACAACGCTTTATCGAAGGAACGGCAACCATCTATGTTCTTAGGAGCTACCGTTTCCCCACACTGATGGTTTGGTTCAAAGCAGACACGTCACCTAGCAAAAAGTGCTTCCCGGCTACGCCCCTGTCCAGTCAGACTTATCCGTTCTTTATTGATCCCACCCTTCCATCAAGGTGCTCGGGTGGCATTCACTGTTCTCTCCCTCTAAGCTGTGGGGTCTTGTGAGCAAAAACTCTACTCTGTGACCTACTGGCATTGAAGTTCTGAGTGAGGAATTTGGCCACTGCATAAATTAGTTTGCTCTGGAGCCATCTTTCCTGAGCTTAGACAAAGATGTGTGAGCCGGAGGCTAAAAAACTATGAGCTAACTCACACTAACTTGAAGGCTGAAAATGAAGACACCGAAACTGTCCAAGATGTCTTATCCCTTGGCTCCCTCATGAACCTAAAGGGAGACTGCGACCCAGAAATCAGAAGGCGATTAAGACCGGGAAGGGCAGCCAGGAAGGACCTAGAAAAGTTCCATGAAGGATAAGGATGGGTTGTTGGTGACCAATATCAAGTTAATTCATGCCATGGTATACCCGTTACTCTGTATGGGCCTGAAAGTTGGACAGTGAGGGAAATTGACAGGAAGAAAGTAGATTCCTTTGAAATGTGGTATTCCAGGAGAGTTTTACGGATCCCGTGGACCGCCAAAAGACAATTAAGTGGGTTCTAGATGAAATCAAGCCTGGACTCTCCCCAGAAGCTACAATGACTCAACTGAGGCACTTGTGCTTTGGTCACATCCTGAGAAGACCAAAAGAGTCCCTGGAAAAAGACGGGAATGCCAGGAAAGGTGGAAGGCAGCAGGAAAAGAGGAAGGCCCGACAGGAGATGGAGGGACTCCAGCAAGGAGGGTGGCAAGACCTAAGCAAGGCTGTGAACAACAGGATATTTTGGAGGACATTTGTTCATAGGGAAGCAACTTGACGGCACTTAACGCACATACACACGAAAGGTAAAGGTAAAGGTTTCCCTTGCTTGAAAGCCAGTCGAATCCAACTCTAGGGGTGCAGTGCTCACCTCCGTTTCCAAACCGAAGAGCCAGCGCTGTCCGAAGACGTTTCCATGGTCAGGTGGCCGGCATAACTAAATGCTGAGGCGCACGGAACGCTGTTACCTTCCCACCGAAGCGGTACTTGTTTATCCACTTGCAATGTCTTGCTTTCGAACTGCTAGGTTGGCAGGAGCTGGGACCAGAGACGGGAGCTCACTCCGTCACGCAGCACTCGGGTCTTGAACCGCTGAACTACCGACCTTCCGGAACTGCAGACCGGGAGGTCAGTAGTTCAGCGGTTCGAGACACACTAGCAGCCCTCAAAAGCGATTTTCTGTTATTAATGCATTTTGTTCTACGTGTTCCATCTACGTTTGTTAGCCGCTTTGAGCTCCGTAAGGAAGAAAGGGAACTAATAAGTGTTTTAAATAAACAAAGAAATGGAAGACTCACATTCTGGTCCAGGTGGCTCTCCAGCAGTGCAGCGGTCACGTAAGCCGTCAGGGAGAACTCGTCATCCACCCCACCCTGTGGACAGAAGAGGAAACACAGGAGACAAGCCGAGCCACGAGAGCTTCATTCCCTCCTCTTGCGAGAAAGAGTTTTTCCCGCCCCAAAACCTCAATACAAGCTTGAAGCTTCCGGAGATATCCTATGGAAGCCAAAAAACTGAACTTCCGTTAGCAGGACCTCTGGCACGAAGGCAAACATTAGAAGGAGTTTGCATCTCAGAATGGAGAAATGTTGTGCTTGGGACATCTGGGACTTTTTAAGACCTCTTAGCTCCTTGCTCCGGAAATGTAATTTATACTTTCGGCATGTTAGCATGCTGCACTAAGATGTCACTTTGAGCCCGGGCCCCCAACATGGTTCCCGTGAGCACCGCGACACCTTTCTTGGCGCCAACCGAGTGTTTTTACAAAATGAACGGGGCCAGGTGGAACTTTAAATTTTGTTACGGTCACGGCATAATGCAGACAAAGGCGTTATGTAAAGTGCCGTACCTGAGCAAACAGCGGAGTGATCTTCTAAAAACACAATGGGGTTTGGTTCTGACTAAACACGATGGAGCTGTATGGCTAAAATGCTTAATGCACCTAATTGGGCTTTTTATTAAAGTCACCAGATTTTCCCGGTTGTAATGCGTTTTTATAACTCAGGTGAGAGTTAATAACATCACTATGTCAGATTTGGTTCCATTTTCAAAAACCAGGGCTATTTTTGGGAGGGAATACACAGGAATGGAGTCCCGGCTGGCTTCAGAGTTGGCCATGCTCACTACAGCCAAAACCTCTTTGTGCGTGGCTACAAAGGGAGAAGGCCTGGAGAGCAAACCCCCCCCCCAGCGACTCCGAGGCCGGCCGGCCAGGGGGGGTCTGTCCAAGGGCCAGCTTGTCTGGGCTCCCTGCACCTGTGGGGTGCCTGGGCAAGCCAAGGGAAGGCATTGGATGTGGCCTAATATGCTAATGAGCTGTGCTGTCAGGGGTGTGGCCTATTATGCTAATGAGTTCCTGCTGGGTTTTTTCTACAAAAAAAGCCCTGTCAAAAACCATCTGTGTTCCCATCAAAATCTGGCTGGAAGCTCTGTCTTATGTGCAAAGAGGTCTCACCAGCCCTTCAGCACCAACTGCTGCGGTGACAAGTAACGGTGCAGGTCAGAAATGGCTGAGCCCACAAAAGAAGGGAAAGACAGGAGAAGAAGCCTCCCCCCCCCATTTTCCGTTTGTGTAAGTGCATCCAATGCCTGCAAAGTAAGACGGAGACTGCCAGATGAGGGTTTCCTCGCTCGCTCCAATATGCATACTTGTTTTGCATGTATGCAAGAAAATATTTTTAAACCATACGTTAATGTGAAAAGGTATCCTGTTCAACAGAATGTCATGAGTACTGAGGATGGCCCGTTACCAGCTCCAGCTGAGCTCGTAGCCGGCCTCTCTGCAGTTGCAGAGATCGGCAATTTACTCTTACAGCCTGCACAGACACCTGGCTCAGAGACAGTTGACAAACAGCAGACACAGCTGGGAAGTCCTCCTGACTCTACCCTGAGAGTCGTTCACCTAAGGGATTGTCTCCGGCAGGATTTGGCAACTCTGCGCGCTGGAAGGGCCTGCGAGATATCAGCCCTGAGTATTAACAGACGCTTGGCCACCGATGCCGCTGCACTAATTGGAAACAGCAGTGGAGGGCTATTTAGCTTCCAGCTCCACGCTGCCTTTCTTGTGGAAGCAAACTCGTCATTACCCCGTGTTGGATCTCTGCTCTCCACCCCCTGGTTCTAAGACCTCGTTCCTGCTAACTGCTTCTGGCTTCAGACCCTGACCTGATCGACTCTGCTCCCGGTTTGTGATTTGGACTGTTGCTCTCAGCTCCTGCTAACTTCCTCTGGCTCCCGACCCTGGCTTTGAACGACCTTGCTCTTTGGTTGCACTCTGGACTTTCGGTTGCTGCTTCACCCGTTTCGGCTCTAGACCCCAGACTGAACTCTGACTTCTCTTTGCCTGCATGCTAGACCTTGACACAGAGTTCCTGTCTGAAACAATGAAGACCTACTCTCAGAGATCTGCGTAACCTCACTGCCTGACAGTTTGTGGTTGGCTCTCCCTCCCACAGCATCCGTTCAGTTTGTTGTAGTGGTTAAGTGCATCCGAGCCAGTTTGGTGTCGTGGTTGAGTCTAATCTGGGAGAACTGGGTTTGACTCCCCACTCCTCCACTTGCACCTGGCTGGATGACCTTGGGCAAGCCGTAGTTCTGGCACAGCTGTTCTTGAAAAAAGAGCAGTTTCTATCAAGAGCTCTCTCAGCCCCACCGACCTCACGGGGTGTCCGTTGTGGGGAGGGGAAGGGAAAGGAGTTTGTAAGTCGCTCCAAGACTCCTTTGGGTAGTGAAGGGCAGGGGATAAATCCAATCTCTTCTCTCTCTCTCTTCTTCTTCTTCATCGTGGCCACCACCTTATGCCAATGTCCCAGAGGTGTTAGCAGGCTGGAAAAGGCTGAGGACCCCTGCTTTAAGCTCGCAGGTGTATGACTCCAGCTTGCGGCCACACCTGACGACATGCCTCCGTCTTCACACAAAGAATCCCGGTTAGACACTCATTACTAAATATGCAGTATCGACTGCAGGTTGGTATCGACTAGGACTAGGGCTTTTTCTGTGGCTGCTCCTGCTTACTGGAATGAGCTTCCGGACAAGATCAGGGCCCTGCGGGACCTTTTGCAGTTCCGCAGGGCCACAAAAACGGAGCTCTTCCATCAGGCATATCCTGGGTAAGGAGCCACGTCTTACCATCTATGTCCCGTCCTAATCTTATTCCCAGCCTGAGCCCGCCGATAGTGGAGGTACTGCTTATCTTATTATAGTCACATCGCCATCACTATGTTAATAGTTTTAATAACTTACGGTGTATTTTATACTAATATTTATACTAATCTATATTGTTGTTTTTTCTATGGTTCTCTTGTAAGCCGCCCTGAGCCTGCCCCGGTGGGGAGGGTGGGGTAAAAAAATGTAACAAATAAATAATGAAGGCATATGAAATAACTAGTTAGTCCCTCCCTTGCAAAAAACTGGGGCACAGTGTTTTGGGGGGAGAAACTAAGACCGATTTCACACAAAAGCTGTGCCGCGGTCACGCCTCCCTTTGCCCCCGCTTCTATTGGTCAATTTCCCACTCGAAGCCACACGGCCTCATTTTGACCCGTGGCTTCACCCGATTTTTCCCACGGTTTCGTGATCCTCAAAAAACAGGATCACGAAACTGCGGGGAAAATCGGGCGAAGCCGCAGGTCAAAATGAGGCGGCGTGGCTTCGAGTGGGAAATTGACCAATAGAAGCTGGGCAAAGGGAGGCACGACTGTGGCGCAGCTCTTGTGTGAAATCGGTTCTTCCAGATTAGAGTCCGCGCACTTAACCACTACACCAAAGTTGCATGGGAAACCTTTTCAGTCAGGTGTTGAGTGAACCGTTATTGGGTTGTGCATGTATTTCAGTGCACACTGACATCTACTGCAGTTTCTACCAAGGCACAGAATTACCCACTCGCTCACGTACGTTTCCTACTGCAGTGCAGTGTCTGTACCTTTAGGGCGTTGTTGAAGAGCCTTCCTACACTTTCAAAGCAGCCGCTGGGACGCTGGTGTTCCTCCAACCAGTGGACGGTATCTCGGATGTGCTTTTCGTCAACGAAGATGTAGGATTTTGCCTGGCCAAAAGCCCGAGCCACAAAAGCTGTCAGCCTGCGGAAGTGGGTTGTGGGAAGGAAGAACCACTCAGTACTCTGGTCCCAACATTTTGCAATACTCTCAAAAACTCATACCCCCAAAATCTTGTTGGTTTCTAAGGTGCTACTGGAATCTAGCTGTTTGACTGCAGACCAGCACAGCTACCCCCAATGTCAGTCAATCAGTCAGTCAGTCAGTCAGTCAGTCAGTCAGTCAGGCATTTATTATGGCAACAAGCCATAGAACACACATGCTTAAATATAACATTCATAACATTCATATAACTGAATTTAGGACGGTAAAATAAAACTCTTTAAAAATACAGTTGAGCGTAATAAAGTAAAAGAAGAACATAAAACACAGACTATTAGGCAACTATTATTATATATTTCATTGTGTATTTCGGATGCAGTAGCATGCTACCCAAACTTTTCCCACAGTTTCGGTAATTGTCCGGTTCCCATCAATTAACAATCAGTTACACTGCTCAGCACCTGATTGTCCCACCATATCTGTTAATAAGAGGAGTAATATATTTGTCACGGATCTTGTTATACCAGTTACATCTGAGCATCATGTGCTCAATAGTTTCTGTCTCTCCTGAGCTGCATCGACAAAGTCTATATTCAGTGGGGATCCTTTTGAATCTGCCCTCAAGCATCGCGGAGGGGAAAGCCTCACATCTGGCTAATGTGAAGGTTTCCTAAACTTGTGAATATCAAGCTGTGATAAATAGGACATGGGTTGCAAGCGATATTTGACAGAATCTGGGGCTGTAAACTTAGGACATCTACCGAGATCTGTCTGTCTCTCCATGTCCATCATTCTCTGTTTTAGGGCTGATTTTGCTACATCCCCTCTCCATGAGGATGGAAATTTAGTTTAAGCCAATACTGGAGTGAAGCTAAAGTAATTTTGGTTTCCATTGATAAAGCACCTGTCTCTAGACGGATCAGTGTATTCGATACACACCTTGGGACCTGCTACCCCCAATGTACGTCTGTCTGACTGAGAGCCTGGTCTTGTACCCATGACCCGGCTCATGTCAGGCGTATCATACAGCTTGGCCCTCAGTGTCTTGAATTTCAGGTAAAAGCAGCCGTGTCTTTTCCTTGACAGAAATCACACCTATGCCCCAGCTGCTATTAGAAGAGAATGACTAGATTTTAAGGAATGGGAGTCAGCTGTTAAATAAACTGGACGACACGAGTATTGGGGGGGGGGGCTAAAGATGGGCCCCTCCAGTGCTGGAAGCATTTCCCCTCTGCTGCCAAACTGAAGGAAGAATGTTGGTGTCAGCCAGACACAGTGAAATGTCTGTGAAAGGACCTGAAACAGGTTTAACATTTTTAGCCTCTAACCCACTGTCACCCCGGTATAGGTGGGGCCATGGCTCCGTGGCACAGCATCTGCCCCATTCACTCACCAGGTGTTGCCCTCAGCGTCACGTTGGCCAAAGGCACTGTAGGAGCCATTGCTGTGCTGGTAGAGCAGTTGGCGCTGGTACCCTGTGGGAGAGAGGGCGGGAAACTACCTTTGTGCTTCTTCGTACTAGTTTTCAGTAGCTCAGTCTCACATGTGATGCAAAAGTTCAGAAGAAGCCTCCAGGTCAAGATGGCTCTCGAGATACGTGTAACGGGGCCCTTAACTGCCATGCCACCTCTTTTCTCGGGCCCACTCACCCAGCACAGGACGTCACAGTGGCTCACCAAGGACCAGCACCCCTGAGTCCTCCTCAGCAGTTAGCTGTGACATCCAGAGAGAGATCTGGGAACCTCGGGGTCTCAGCATCCCCTGGGAAGCAACGCTGTACTGTGTGCCACTCAGGGCCTCCAACAAGACGCCACGGGCTGCTGCAAGAGAGGCCCTCTCTCCAAGCCCCCTCAGTTTCTCCAAGATGTCACATCCCTGCGGAACGGCTTTCCTTCTGGCCCCCTCCCCAGCAAACATCCACTCCGTGGCCCAGAAGCATGCCACAAGGATACCCTTACATCCCTTCAGGCAGGGTCCCCCTTCGCCTGTTTATGATGGGAGACCTTCATTCAATTGTAGCCCTTGCTCACCAATGTTCAGTGGGTGGAAACTGGGACCAAAGGCCTTGTCTACTTACAGGACGTTCTGACCATAGAGTTTCTGATTATTCTCAGAGCTGCCTGGAAATCATAAGGGTGGCTCTAGTAATCACCATAATCTCTATGGTAATCTTACCACAGAGTTTCTGGCAATTGCTAGAGTCACCCATGTAACTTCTGGGTAGCTCCCCTTGCCTACCTGAGGGACCGCCTTTCCCCACACGTTCCCCAGTGAAAAGTACTCAGAACGAAGAGTGATTTTAGCAAGAGTACTTTATTTAGTGAAGAACAAGACAAGAACCCCCGGCACGCAGGCCGGTATATATGTCCAGAGACCCACCACCAAAACACACCCCCTAGTGACCCTATAGGTTATTTACAGTGGCCGAGAGTCCCATTGGCTCTCGGCCGCGGACCTGGCCCTCTGGTTGGTGCGGGCTAGGATCCGCTCCGCTATTGTTCTGCAGGAACGAAGCTATGGGCATGTGCTTAACCGCATGGCCCAACGGTCGCGCACGTGGTAATGGCGGATACATTACAGGGCTTGTGGGAAGACTCCCAGGCTCGTTCCGGCGCCCAGGGCGGTGCTGGTCGGAAAGCCTGGCAGGGTTGACACTGTTTTACCAGTTTCTCAATGTCCTGATCGAGGCCGGGCCACCACACATAACTCCGAGCCAAGGCCTTCATCCGCACTACGCCTGGATGGGCCTCGTGCAACGCTGTTAGCACCCGGTCTCGGAGGGGGAAAGGAACCACCACCCGGCCTCCCCACAGCACACAGCCCTTGTGTGCAGACAGTTCGTCTTTCCATGAGGCATAAGCCGAGAAGTCAGGGCCTGCCGTGACTACCGGCCACCCCCTTCTCACCCAGTCCAAGACGCGGCAGAGGATCGGATCTTTGGTGGTGCGACGGGCCACCTCCTGCACATGGACCGGCTGGTCAGGCAGGGTCTCCAGCAGAGCCACCTGATGAGCAGGGGCCGGGTCTGGCTCTGTTCCCGGCAGGGGCAGGCGGCTCAGGGCGTCAGCATGCCCCATCGCTTTCCCGGGCCGGTGTAGGAGCACGTAATTGTAGCCCGCCAGGAAGACTGACCACCGGATCACTCGAGGAGAGGTCATCTGGGGGGGTCTGGCGGTCCGGGGCGAGCAGACCCGGGAGAGGCTTGTGGTCCGTAAGGACCGTGAAGGGCCGGCCATAGAGGTAGTGGTGAAATTTTTTCACCCCGGCCACGATAGCTAGAGCCTCTTTGTCAATCTGCACGTAATTGCGCTCAGCCGCGGACAAGGTACGGGAGTAGTAGGCCACAGGGACCTCCCGCCCGTCAGGCAGCTTGTGCCCCAGGACCGCCCCGACCCCATAAGGAGAGGCGTCGCAGGCCAGCACCACGGTAGGTCCTCGTTGAAGTGACCATGAAGGGCCGGCCGTAGAGGTAGTGGTGAAATTTTTTCACCCCGGCCACGATAGCTAGAGCCTCTTTGTCAATCTGCACGTAATTGCGCTGAGCCGCGGACAAGGTACGGGAATAGTAGGCCACAGGGACCTCCCGCCCGTCAGGCAGCTTGTGCCCCAGGACCGCCCCGACCCCATAAGGAGAGGCGTCGCAGGCCAGCACCACGGTAGGTCCTCGTTGAAGTGACCATGAAGGGCCGGCCGTAGAGGTAGTGGTGAAATTTTTTCACCCCGGCCACGATAGCTAGAGCCTCTTTGTCAATCTGCACGTAATTGCGCTGAGCCGCGGACAAGGTACGGGAATAGTAGGCCACAGGGACCTCCCGCCCGTCAGGCAGCTTGTGCCCCAGGACCGCCCCGACCCCATAAGGAGAGGCGTCACAGGCCAGCACCACCGGTAGGTCCTCGTTGAAGTGGGCGAGGACCGAGTTGGATGTGAGGAGATCCTTGACCGCCTGGAACGCCACCTGTTGAGCCGGGCCCCAGACCCACGGTGCGCCCTTGTCGAGGAGCCGGTGGAGGGGTTCCGCTACCGCTGCTTTGAGGGGAAGAAAGGATGTGTAGAAATTGAGGAGGCCTAAGAAGGCCTGCAATTCAGTCTTTGAGGAGGGGGCTGGAGCGTTCGAGATCGCCGCCGTCTTCTCCATCGTCGGGTGAATGCCCTGTGCGTCGACCTCGAAACCGAGGAACTCCACCTTTTGAACGCCGAGCTGGCATTTTTCGCACTTCACCTATAGCCCTGCTTGATCGAAACGTTGCAGGACTGCGCGGAGACGGTCGGTAAATGACGCGGCATCGGGGGCGGCAATCAGGACGTCATCTAGAAAGGGTTGGACTCTGGGGATCCCTTTGAGGAGAGAGTCCATGAAAGACTGGAAAATCCCCGGGGCCACCAAAACCCCGAACTGGAGCCAGTGGACCCTGAAAGCCCCCCTGTGTGTGGTGATCGTCTGGGCTTCTGCGGTGGCGGCGTCCACTGGCAGCTGCTGGTAGGCTTGCGCCAAGTCCAGCTTCCCAAAAATGCGAGCCCCTGCGAGTGCTGCTAACACATGGCTGACCACCGGTACGGGGTACGCGTGGTCCTGCAGTGCTTTGTTTAACGTG